CCAAAACACCATAAAACCTGTATATAATTATGTTTCATAGCTAAATATTTGATGTTAAATGAAAGCCCTATTACTCCTGAATAAAATGATATATAAGTGTTTGTGCATTTAATATGAAAGAGGTGAATTACGGTTGAACAAACATGTAGTAAAATTCCAAGTTTTGTTTACGTTTTATTTTGATCAAAACATGTACATTTGGCTCAGTCCTTAAGGGGTTAATAGGTTGTTAGGCTGGGATTTCTATCTATAGATCTATTTGCCAGTTTAGCTGCACACCTCATAATGGATATTCTGCGATTTTCTAATACAAACTATAAGCCCGAGACCAAAACCTCAGACCCAACGAACATTAAGTCTAGAGTTGTGGTCACAAGAAATAAAAATTTTAGCATCTTGGAGTAAGGATGCTATGGCTTCAGTATCGCATACGAATTCAAACGTTTGTCCCTGTATTTTAAGGTAGAGCATGGGTAACTGAGACCAATTAACAGTAGCCCACAGCAATGCACAAGAAAAGGGATCCAACCTCAGGCCTTCTTATATGATATCTGTGAATTTCAGGGTACAGAGACCTTGTTAAAGCCAGTATCGGGTGGGATAGACCTAGGCTGTCTTAGGCTGACAATGGCGTATTACATGACCAAATTTGCCACAGTTGTAGCAAATTATTGGTTCTCCACTTAGTTGTTGTTTCCAATGCTCTATCTTATTACAGTGCCAACATACCCTTGGGGCTACGCCATTAGACACAGTATGACTGGGCACTGAGACAGCCTTGGGGGCAGGGGTCAAAACACTCTGCAAATTCAATGATGCTGTCAACCAGCTCCTTAATAGTCCACACCATTTGGGATGGGCCCACTTAAAGGTCTGTGAGGCATCTGGGGTAAGATTATCTAGTAACAAATTGATAAACATTCCCCTCATGTCGTCGGAGACTGGGAGGCAACATTCTGTTTTTAAAAAGTACTTCTGAAACCTTCTGGCAAAAATGCCTGGACCCACCCCTGGCTCTTGTTTGCCATGCTTTGCTTATCATTTTCTCCACTAAAAAAGAAAAATCTTGCAATTCCTTATACATATTCTCAAGGTCCATACTACTTGGTATATGGTCCTTGTGCAAGACTTTCTGACTGGAATCTAATATATTCTTGGTTACTATCTTCCAATCTGTATTATCAATGCCCATAATAAGGTTCAGCAACATGACATAGCCAGAGGAGAAGAGGAAATATCCTGCCGTGGCCCTCTTGAGATATGTAATGGCTGCTGTGGGCAGACTGGGTCTGCGCAACATCTTGCCAGAGTTGTCGTCCTATTCATGTCTGGGGGTTGAAGAATTACCTGATTCCCTATAAGCATATATGGTGCTTCCACTCCTCCGTCCAAACACTTCTATTTCTTTTTCTCAGATCATATTTCCTTACTCCTTCCTCTACTTCTTCCTCCTCATGTTCACCTTCCAAAGGGAGGCATATCAATAAGTACAGCCTCCTTCTCCCTACGCTCTGCTGACCATCATTTTTTGTTTTGAAGATTTGCTACTGTCAGTAACACCTCCTTATCCTCATCTTTACTAAATGCAATATCCTTCAAATTTGGATACAACACCTTGGATGCCTTAATTTTAGTGAGCATTGGTGCTTTGTCCCTCGACAGGGGCATTTTGAGCTCCTGTAGATGAACAGTAAGGGGGAGGAAGAGGAGTAGACACACAAGCTAGTGTCTGCTGCTTTTCCTCACCCCTCTGCCATTATGGAGCAATAATATCCCACACCCTGCCACAAGTCCTCATTTAACCCTTATCCCATGCCGGATCGGGTCCATGGCCCATTTATGCCTATTTCCTAAGCATAGACAATCTATCATACACAAGTGGGCTCCTGCAAAATTACCCTCTCTTGGGAAAGAATTAGAACTATTTAGTCCCTCTGTATACCCTTCCAAATTATCCACAAAAGGTTCACAGTAATAATCATCAGCTATCCTTTTTTTTTAAGTTTACTTTTGCCTTGTCCCATATTCAGTGTTACATAACAAAAAAGTGTATATACCAATAATGCAAGAATCCTGTGAGCAAGCAAAAATTATAGTTCTAGCCTTATAAGCTTATATATGTATGTGCATCCTTATGAAAATGTAAAACAATAAAAATAAACACAGTTACAATAATCCAATGAGTCTGAACAAAGATCAGTCAGTCACACAGTGGGGCATGTGTAGTGTTTTTTGAATCCCTAGTCCAAAAGACTATCACTATTATCACTATTCTAGTGTGACAGACCCATCTGTATAACTATTATTGCTGGTTCATCTGTTTTATCTCCATTCGTAGAAATGCCTGTCCGTATGCCCCTGTTCGTTTATGGCGGGATTATACTGAACAAACTACCGAACAGACGGCCACCCAGAAGAGAAGTGTGCTGTTGGTTAACCTCTTGGCCCCAATTAGAATGTTGTGGTTAACCGCAGACACCTCTTCATTCTAACCATATGCAGGGTGGTCGTCGTTCGTATGCCGACCATGAGGCAGCGGCCATTTTAAAACACGCGAATGAACAGCGGTGTTCCACGAGAAACGTATGGAACTATAAACGGACACTTTTTCCTACCGAACACCGCTGAAACTGCTGATCGCCCTTATTTTTCGTCGAGACATACGAACACCGGTCCGTTCGGGAGTTTGGATGATACAAATGGACTTAACCCAGATAGCCATCCCATGGAGTCATTCGTATACCGAAAGGACAGTGTGAAAGACTTTGACTCCATGGCGATTGAACTGTGTGCATGGGATCTGAGCGCTATTCGGTAGTTATGTGCGCTCAGATCCAGGCTATCTGGGAATATGTTACACGAATCCAATGTATTCGGTATTTCTATAATGCCGAAACACACGTCAGGCTTATTTTTTATTTTTTAAATCACTACACAGATGTGTTCACATTATTGATAGTTTATGAGGGATTCTGCTTTATACCTATGAGGGGAAACTCTCTTTAAATGGGGTTTAGTTAAGGGCTACTTTAACTCCTTGAGGACACATGACATGTGTGACATGTCATGATTCCCTTTTAATCCAGAAGTTTGGTTCTTAAGGGGTTAAAGTTAGCAAGCAAGGTTCAGCCTTTCCTCATTAGGATATTTTTGATTGTTTTTTGGAGTAGCTTTTAGCCTTCATTTTTAGACATGTGCAATTCGGATGAATCGGACGGATGCTTTCAAATGTCCAAAGTGCAGAATTGCCGAATTTCGGAATGCCGAACCGAATTTCAGAAGTGCCGAAGTACTTCGAATTTCTGAAAAGTGGCAAAACAGGAGAGGTTTGGGGTGGGGTTAGGGTAGGGTTAGGGTTAGTGCTTGGAGTAGGGTTAGGGGTAGGGTAACCCTAACCCTATTCCTAACCTTAAGATAGTGACCTTAAAATCGATTTATTTTTAGGTAGTTACTATGAAGGCTTAACTGCTACTGCTACTGTTAGTGACTATTTCCCAAGGATTCCTTTCAGGTGGGTGGTCACTGAGCCAAACTGATTTCTATTCATTGCCACTAAACACCAAAGTTCCATACTGTTCAGCAATTTACAACAGCCGACTAACCCTTCATAAGCAAAAGATATCTAAGGAATAATTTATTTAAGTTGAGGATATTGACTTTTATTTATTTTGATAGGCTCTATAGTGCTCTGCATCTTACAGTAGTTTGTTAACCCATTGTGAATTAAATACTTTTCACCTACTATAACTACTTTCAGGAAGTGAAGCAGCCTTCATTACTTCAATCCCTTCTACCCCTCCTGTACTGCAGAGTTTAGTAGCCTCTGTTTTTTTTCTTTTGTGCTTATTTATAAGTATCCTTTTTTCTTTTTTGTTGTGGTTTTGTTATATTTTTATAATTACTTAATAAACTGAGTTTTTAAACATATTGCATAAAACGTTGTATCTACATATGGACTTTTTTGTGTCCTCTGGACTCTGTATCCATTGGACATTTTTCTGTATATAAATAAAATACTAACAGAAGGTCACTGCCATACAAAGAAAGGACACCAATGTATAGGAATGTACAGCCAACAACCTGTCTAAGATGAACAGAAATTAGCTTGTTAGTCTAGGGCAGTGATGGCGAACCTTTATGAGCCCGAGTGCCCAAACTGCAATAAATGTCAACTTTTCTCTCCTCCAAGTGATATCACAGCAATTAAACCTGAATATTGAGGTTTAAGTTTAGAAAAAACAACTTGTACAGTTGTCCAAACTTTTGTCTTTTGTTTTAAAAGAACAAAACAGAGAGTTCAATGATACAAATTATAAATAATGGTATAAATAGATAAAATTAGGCTTATATTTATTAGTAACTCCAACAAATGCAGTACATACATACAATACATACATAGACTGCTGAACACATTCACACACCGACTGCTGAATACACGCACACACACACAGACTGCTGAATACACAGACCACTGAATACACACAGAATGCAGAATCCCTTCTTCTTACCTTTGGTGAAGGGGGGGGCACAGCAGACCCCAGCGACCTATGGCCGCATGCCCACAGAGATGGCTCGGCGTGCCATAGGTTCGCCATCACTGGTCTAGGGGCTTATTCATTAACATGTGGAAAATTAAGAGGCATAAAAATAATAACATTCTATTAATGAGCTTGGTTATACAATATAATACATATTTTTTTTGTTGGCAATGGGTTATTTATCTTTACAGGAGTGATTTTTTATTTTTAGAGATTTGGAAATTTTGTATACAGGTGAAGTGTGTTTTTAATTTTTAGATTTGTATCTATTTGTAACAAAGGTTAGGTTAGGAATTCACATTCTTTTTTATTTTCTAACAAAATTTTTACTGATAACTATATTTTATATTATATGTTTATTGTATTATTGATGCTTTGCTCCACAGAAGCTGGAGGGGCAAACACTTTCCATCTGCTGTGGAATGCAATGCACAAACACCGACAGACATATACTCATTTTCACAGACATGCACGTTGCTCATAATCAGACAACTGCTCACTAAGTTTCAAAATATTGGTGGGATTTACACACCAAGGGTGCAGCCACAATCTTTTTGTTGTTGTTGTTGTTCTTATTTGTTGTAAGCTCAGTCATTGAGTAATGTATTCAATCATTTGATGACCTTAACGGAAACTAATAATGTACATTTAAGGAGCTTATATGTAAAAGCTTACAGCAATCTCACCAACATGAACAGTCTAATCCTTAGTATATTCTTCTTAGATAAAGGCAACTAGACATGCAGCTCTCAGGGAGAAGTGCTGTACTGATTGCATTGGTCTGGTTAAAAGGTAAGGAACTCTTTTATTAAATATCGTGTGTGTGATAAAAAAGGAAAAAACATGTAATAATACAAATATCAATAGTTGCATGTGCGAGTTTTGTTTAGATGCATAATAAAAATAGTGGGTATTTTTTTTGATGATTTTCTACCTAGACGTATTATTTACCGGTTTATATTTAACTAACCTGCAAATAATCTGTAATAGATCACTGTGTCTTTGTATGACACTGGTATGACAGAGATAACATGTGATTCCACGTTAAATATATCTGGTCAACCAGTACACAAAAGCTAATCATCTTAAAAAGGATTACAATTGCTGTGTTTACATCCCTCTTCCAATTAACATTGAATAATGCAAATGATATAGAAATTTAATTTTGTATTTTAGAGCATTTGTGTGTTTGGACTGCTTGTAATTGCTACCTCTGGTAAGATGAACACCATAATGTAATTATATAAATATTATTTATTCAAAAAGTATATTCTATCATTCTTTAATTCCTCATTAAATAAGGCAGTATATTCCATCCAAACATATCCTCTAACCTCTTTTGATGTCTAACACAGCACTTTAACCCCTTAAGGACCAAACGTCTGGAATAAAAGGGAATCATGACATGTCACACATGTCATGTGTCCTTAAGGGGTTAAAGGGGAGCTCTCAATTATTTGGAAATTACACCATTAAATATAACATTGAAAACCACCTGGAAATTGTGTTACCCTTTTTATGAGATGCTTATTTTTTCTTTTAAATCTATATATTAAAGATGTATCAAATTACATGATAACCCACCTAACTCAGACCAGGAAAACAAGGGCAAATATTAGAAATGAGAAGGCAAATTAGCATAATTATTTTAATTCAGTGGCGTCTCTCGGATTCATTTTTAGAGGGGGCACATGGAGGGCCAGGGACAAAAGTAGGGGGGCACATTTAATCCTGCCTTCACCGCAGTTTGACCACGCCCCAGCCGCATGTTAAGCCCTGCCCCCAACACAATGTGTTTTTTTTTTTTTAATAATCCCTGGTGGAGGATTCATTATTTTCCACCAGGGATTATTAAAACAAAACACATTACCCTCGATACAGTGCCATAGTTGCCAACATTTGAAAAACATTTCCAAGGACATTTTGCAACACAGCTATCAATTACTGTCTGGGTATAATATCCCTGGACAGTCAGTGCTCTCTGTATAATACAGGGTTGTGTGTATAATAAATTGGGACAGTCAGTGCTCCCTGTATAGTGCTGTTCTCTGTATAATACAGGTCTTTTTGTGTATAATGTAGCAGCACTTTACAGGGAGCACTGACTGTCCCGGGATGTTATACAGACACAGGCCTGTATTATACAGAGAGCAGCACTATACAGGAAGCACTGACTATCCCGGGATATTATATACACACAGATCTGTATTATACAGATAGCTGAGCATATACCCCATGTCCCAATCGCTAGACTACTAGTACTTGTCAACAGCAGCTCCCAGACACGTGTAACAGGGCTAAAGTGTGCGGCAGCTCACACAGATGATTCAGCGGTGTGGCGAAACCAACCTCTCCACGAAGCATTGAAGAAGCCTGGTTGCTCGCCTGTTGCCCGTGGACTATGGCCCCATGTTAAAAAGCCTTCTTTTCCCCTGCAGAAAAGGCTTGTTCGTGCCTTTCTGCCCGGCGTTTGGTAGATTCAATGCTGCTTTAGTCTCTATAATATATACCACTAACTCTTTTTTGCTTGTAGTGGTCATAGGCTATCCAAACTATAGCGCCATCGACCAGCGCATGAAGTCTGGGTCTACCTCTATCTAGTCTATACATATTAGCGTTACTTTGTTCCATAGTTTGCTTCTCTTTGGGCAAGACCATCGTATATGGACATAATCAGTCCTAATGGGACTGCAACCCCAGCCTAATAGTAGTGTTGGAGGATACGTTTTGGCTAGTTTAGTTTAGGCACATTGCCTTCTATTAATGGTATTATAGTGGCTGTCTATTAGGTTGGAGTGATGTATTGCCTTGGCTACATCATTATTTGCGCTAACCCATTCTTCACTTGTAGTGATGATATATAGGTCAGGGGAGTATCTTATATGGGTCATGTAGCTTTACACATAATTTTCCCCTTTCTTTCCTCCCTTCCTTTCAATTTTTTTTAAAATAGATAAATGAATAGCATATATACATACATATGCAACCATGTAATTCTGTCTTATTTCTTATGTCAATAATACTAAGAACTAATACTAAGCAGTAGCCAAGGCCATTCACTGCTTTAACCCCTTAAGTACCAAACTTCTGGAATAAAAGGGAATCATGACATGTCACACATGTCATGTGTAGTGATGTCCCGAACTGTTCGCCGAACGGTTCGCGAACGGTTCGCCGAACGGTTCGCGAACGGTTCGCCGCGGACTCATCATTGAGTAAACTTTGACCCTGTACCTCACAGTCAGCAGACACATTCCAGCCAATCAGCAGCAGACCCTCCCTCCCAGACCCTCCCACCTCCTGGACAGCATCCATTTTACATTCATTGTGAAGCTGCATTCTTAGTGAGCTGTCCAGGAGGTGGGAGGGTCTGCTGCTGATTGTTTGGAATGGTTCGCCGCGGACTCATCATTGAGTAAACTTTGACCCTGTACCTCACAGTCAGCAGACATATTCCAGCCAATCAGCAGCAGACCCTCCCTCCCAGACCCTCCCACCTCCTGGACAGCTCACTAAGAATGCAGCTTCACAATGAATGTAAAATGGATGCTGTCCAGGAGGTGGGAGGGTCTGGGAGGAAGGGTCTGCTGCTGATTGGCTGGAATGTGTCTGCTGACTGTGAGGTACAGGGTCAAAGTTTACTCAATGATGAGTCAGCGGTGAACCGTTCGTGGCGAACCGTTCGGCGAACCTTTCGGAACATCACTACTGAGGATTAGTGTATTGTTTTCATCTTTGGGCACTAAGCATGTTCCTTTTTTCGTTCGTTTTTAATTTTCTTCCCTTTCCTTTTTTTTTTTCTTGCTACTTTCCTCGCTAGACTGTGTAAATGCGCATTTGTCTGTGTTAGTATTTATTTATAAGATTAATCTATTAAGGAAAGGGTTTATAAATATAAAAGAAGTTTAAAGAAGATCTGATATATATTTGATGGACTAACAAGCAAATTATATAATAGAGGTACTAAGGCATTAGAAAGACTTTAAAGGTCAATCCAAGACAGCGTCATCTGCCTGAAACCACATACTAAATTTAACTTATTTATACAGTGTTCTTTTAATACAAAAGAATATATTAACAATTATACAACTTAATTTAATTAAAACCATTCAATGTGAGGTTAACACTGATTTCTGTGAATTGTATCGCTATTTTTGCAATTTAAATCACTGATGTAGTTGTATTTCAATCAAGGTTTGTTTTTTTTCTTCTATTTTTTGTTAGTATTGTTATCCTGTTCTAACATATAAGTATACAATAATGCATTTGGCCCTGCGCGGAATAGGACTATACATTGTTGAGCACATTTTATTTTGCTACTATTGCTAAAACATACCTTATATTTTCAAAACAAATTTTCTGTGTATGCCTTCTTTTTAAAACAAATCTATGGCTTCTTTAGGTCTCTCTGACTTTTCTGTTCTAAGTATTTATCTTCTGTGATGTCCTTGTCTCCTATTTATATGCCTTTTGTTCAGGGTCATTTCATTTGTGTTTTGGTTGAAAACCCCCAACCTCAAGGCTCACATGGACTGATTGGCACACAGGCATGTTTGCTAGTATACCGCAGTATGTAGAACCAACTGGCTTACCACACTATGAGGAATTTGATCACTACAGGACACTCTGGTTACCATTTGTGACAGTGGAGTCACTGGAAACAGAGTCTGCATCTCTTACATATGAGCAGATCTTTCTGAATGCTCCCGTCTTCTGCACATCACAGACTGATGGAGGCTGCCAAGATTTTTTGGCAAATTTAAACTGGTTTTTTTTTGTTTGTTTTTTATTTTCCAAGTACATCAATTCTAAAAAAACAAAAAATGAAAGTGTAGTTACACTGGAACAGAGTTGGGTTTGTTAACTAATGAAGACCAGGAAAAAGCAGAAATTTTAAATAACTATTTTTCTTCGGTATATATTAATGAGGATCCTATGGCAAGATATATGTAAATGATTGCTGCAAAAAAACTTGCAGATAACTTGTGATTGGATAACTCAAGACAAGATGCTACAGCTATTAAAGAAAATTAATGTAAATAAATCTCCGGGGACTGACGGTTTTCACCCACGAGTACTTAAGGAGCTAAGTGGGGAAATAAGTGAACCTCTGTATTTAATTTATCAAGATTCTTTTGTTTCAGGTATTGTGCCGGAGGATTGGAGGAAGGCAGATGTTGTTCCTATATTTAAAAAGGGTTCATTAAGGGATAATATTCAGGAATTAATTGGGATGAACTTTGTTATTAGCAATAATCAGCATGTCAAACTAACCTAATTGCATTCTACAAAGAAGTATGTAGAAGTATAGATCAGGGTGTTGCAGTGGATGTGATCTACTTGGATTTTGCCAAGGCATTTGATCTGGTTCCTCACAATAGGTTAGTCTTCAAACTAAAAGAAATTGGTCTAGATGAATATTCTTGTTCTTGGGTAGAACATTGGCTTAAAGATAGAGTACAACGAGTTGTCATTAATGGTAAATTTTCAGGCTGCACAAAAATGGTAAGTGGTGTCCCTCAGGGTTCTGTTTAGGGACCACTTCTATTTAACATATTTATAAATGATCTTGAAAGAGGCATTAAAAGCCATGTATCAGTGTTTGCAGATGACACAAAACTTTGTAAAGAAATAAAATGTGAGCAGAATATTGCTTTGCTGCAGAGGGATTTGGATAGATTGGGGGACTGGGCACTAAAATGGCAGATGAAATTTAATGTAGTGAAATGCAAAGTTATGCACTTCGGGGTTAAGAATGCACAAGCAATTTACACCCTAAAGGGTAGTGAACTAGAGATAACCACACACGAGAAGGATTTGGGAATTGTTATAGACAACAAATTAGGCAGCAATATGCAATGTCAATCTGTAAGGTTTTGTCATGTATAAATAGGGGCATAATCTCTCAGGGTGAAAATATAATTTTGCCTCTTTATAAATCGCTGGTAAGACTACACCTTGAATATGCTCTGCAATTTTGGGAAAGATATCATGGCACTAGAAAAAGTGCAGAGACGTGCTACAAAATTGATAAAAGGAATGGAGCATTTTAGTTATGAAGAAAGGTTAAAAATGTTTTAATCTGTTTAGTTTGGAAAAATGGCACCTGAGAGGGGATATAATAACATTATACAAATATATTCGGGGCCAGTACAAACCTTTATCTGGAAATCTATTCATAAACAGGGCCATACATAGGAAACAAGGTCACACATTTAGGCTGGAAGAAAGGAGATTTCATCTAAGGCAAAGAAAAGGTTTTTTTTACAGTAAGATCAATATGGATATGGAATTCTCTGCCTGAAGAGGTGGTTTTGTCAGTCATTACAGATGACTGCAATTGGATAAATACTTGCAAAAACATAATATACAGGGATATAATTTATAATTAGTGGGGTAATAACTGCTTGATCCAAGGAGACATCTGACTGCTATTTTGGGGTCAATAATGAATTTTTTCCTAGTTTGTTGCAAAATTGGAAGCGCTTCAGATTAGGTTTTTTATCTTCTTTTGGATCAACAGCAAAAATATATGTGAGGAATGCAGAACTTGATGGACGCAAGTCTCTTTTCAGCTATGTAACTATGTAACTGTTTATTTTCAATCCTTCCATCACATCACTGCCAGAAAAAGTGTTCCATTTCAATTCTCGTATTTTTCCGCCACTCTAAATTTGAAGCTGACTTTTTTGCAAAAAACTGTGTAATTTAGGCAGAGAAAAGCAGAATCTTTTTAGATCATTTTTAGAACAATGTAATAAATCTGAACACATTAGAGACCAAAACAAAACGTTTTCAGATTACTTTGATAAATCTCCCTCATATTGTCACACCTCTGGCACTTACTGAATTCTACAAAACAAATGGGAATGAGTGAGCACTTAAGAGTCTAACTGAAAGCATGAGACTGAGACCTTCCCTTTCAAGGATTTGCTCATAACAACTTTTACCCAACTAATGCAACTAAAGAAAACTTACTAGAAATATATTTACTCAGTCGAATTTGTGAAAATGCCTGATATATCTATTATTGCAATACATTTTGGAGGCTACATGACAAATATGGCAAGCATTGAATTGTACCCAACATCTCTATAGCACATATAGACCCCGTTGTGAAGGTTAATTGTTGCAAGCTGTTAAAAGAATGCCTTATAGGAAAACATGAAAATTGAATAAATTGTTTTAATATAATACAATGCCCTTTATTTGACAGTAATTCAAGGTGCTCGACCTGGTGAAGACACTTCATCTGCTGATGATGAAAATGAAACCTCTACAAAAGGTTGGACATAGTTACTATAGATTTCAAGAAAACATTTGTGCTTTAGTTTTTCATTAAACTATTAGTATTATTATTATTATTATGCTGCATTATTAACTGTATGCGGATTTTAAAATGTCATGCTTTTTATTCATGGTGTATTTTTCTGCCTGTTCTTTGTTCAAATGTTTGCTGTCCCCCTGGTACTCTGGTGGATTGATTATTGGGAGTGGCTGGGGATGGCTCAGCTTTCATGGTCCATATTGTTACCAATGACAAAGTCAGAGGAAAATTGGAAGGTTGCTGAGTTCAGGGAATTAGGAAATAAATTGAAGAAAAGGACCTCCAAGGTAGTATTTTTAGAAATATTACCTGTGCTGCGCGCTACAGTACAAAGGCAGTGGGAGATTATGGAGGTTAATGTATGGCTAAAGTCATGGTGTAGGAAGGAGGGTTTTGGCTTTTCAGAGCACTAGGCCGATTTTGCGCTTGGTTTCAATATTCATAACATGATAGATTGGACCTAAATTGAAGAGGGTCTGCTGTGCTGGGGGACAGGATGGCTAGAAGATTGGAGGAGACTTTAAATTAGAGGTAGGGTGCAGGGACACAGAAAACTGCAAAATTGAGATAGGACTAAATGGAGTTAGGCTTTAGCTCTCCTCAAGGCGGCGGAGAAGGGGGAAGGGAGAACAGAAGAGGTATGTAATAGCAATAAACATTCCCATAAATTAAAAGTAACCAACGATAATATTTAATGCAGGCTTACTAATGCAAAAAACCTTAAATAACCTAGGGGAACTAGAGGCAATAGCATACAGTAAGCAATATGACATAATAGGCATAACAGAAACATGGTGGGACAAGACACTTGACTGGGCAGTTAACTTAAATGGCTACACATTATTTAGGAAGGATAAAAAATAGAAAAGCTGGTGGGATATGTTTGTATGTCAACCATAAGTTAAAGCCAAATCTTAAGCAAGTGGAATGTGACAAGAGAAATGTGGAAGCTTTATGGATATATATTTGCTTATAGAAGGCTTATCAATAAACTGCAATCTTTAAGTTTGGATTCCAATATTGTTGAATGGGTAAGGCAGTGGCTGAGTGACAGGCAACAGAGGGTTGTAGTTAATGTAATATATTCGAAGCTTGGACTTGTCACCAGTGGGTTACCTCAGGGATTTGTACTTGGACCCATTCTCTTTAATATTTTTATTAGTGATATTGCAGAAGGTCTTGATGGTAAGGTATGTCTTTTTGCTGATGATACTAAGATATGTAACAGGGTGGATGTTCCAGGAGGGATAAGCCAAATGGCAAATGATTTAGGTAACCTAGAAAAATGGTCAGAATTGTGGCAACTGACATTTAATGTGGATAAGTGCCAGATAATGCATCTTGGACGTAAAAAACCCAAGGGCAGAGTACAGAATATTTCATAGAGTCCTAACCTCAACAATTGAGGAAAGGGATTTAGGGGTGATTATTTCTGATGACTTAAAGGTAGGCAGACAATGTAATAGAGTAGCAGGAAATGCTAGCAGAATGCTTGGTTGTATAGGGAGAGGTATTAGCAGTAGGAAGAGGGAAGTGCTCATGCCATTGTACAGAACACTGGTGAGACCTCACTTGGAGTATTGTACACAGTACTGGAGACCGTATCTTCAGAAGGATATTGATACTTTAGAGAGAGTTCAGAGAAGGGCTACTAAACTGGTTCATGGATTGCAGGATAAAACTTACCAGGAAAGGTTAAAGGATCTTAACATGTATAGCTTGGAGGAAAGACGAGACAGGGGGGATATGATAGAAACATTTAAATATATAAAGGGAATCAACACAGTAAAAGAAGAGACTATATTTAAAAGAAGAAAAACTACCACAACAAGAGGACATAGTCTTAAATTAGAGGGGCAAAGGTTCAAAAATAATATCAGCAAGTGTTACTTTACTGTGAGGGTAGTGGAAGCATGGAATAGCCTTCCAGCTGAAGTGGTAGAGGTTGACACAGTAAAGGAGTTTAAGCATGCGTGGGATAGGCATAAGGCTATCCTAACTATAAGAAAAGGCTAGGGACTAATGAAAGTATTTAGAAAATTGGGCAGACTAGATGGGCCGAATGGTTCTTATCTGCCGTCACATTCTATGTTTCTATGTTCTATGTTTCTATGCTTGGGACGAAAGAAAGGGAATCAATTATTGGTTGGGATATGTTATAGACATTAATGTTAATATTGATGAGGAAAAACAGCTGTTAGAGCAAACTGGGAAATCTGGGTAACACGTTAATTATATGTCTATCCAGACTTAAATTGGGATAGAGGAACTAGTAGTTCAGCAAGGGTAATCAGGGTTTTGAACATCTTAAATGTCACCTTCATGGTACAAGCACAAACTAGAAAGGATGTTTAAACAGATAGATAATGGATCAGCGCTAAATAATCTAATAGAGGCTAAGAGCGAATGAGAAAGCAGCAACCTATAATTTTGAGGTTCCCTCACGTACCTTCAAAAGAAATAGACAAACAAAAAAATGGTATATAGGTTGCGCTATAGGGACATGAGAATAATAAGTAAAATAAATATATATATATGTAAACAGAATAAATAAATAAAATAATAGTCCCAATACTAGAATGTCTTTAATTACACCTGTAAAAGTGCTTGAATATGGAATGAGTCCAATGAGTAGCTGGATCTTCTGATGCTGAAGGTATCTCAGTTCAATTGTAGATATGTGGATATGTAAAAGAGACAAAAATACTCCAATAGTGCAGATTGCAAATCGACAAGTTGAGAGATAAAAATCAAACGGCAGATAATCCACTCACCTATTCATGAGCATGGACTAGCTCAAGTTTTCATAGCATTCAGTGGCGTCAATCCCCCACTGGTAGGATATAGGTGGTGAAATTATGACGAGCTCCTCGGTATATAGAGAGATAAGAAAACGATATAGTGCTCACTAAATTAATGGAAAGGTAAATAGATAAAAGCGATAGAATACTCACATATATATGAGCAGAATATGCTGCTCAATATAATAGCATAGGTGGTATTATCCCCACCTAGGATTCTTGGGCAGGTGTGTGCTCCGATGTAACAGGTAACCAGGTATAAAACGAAAGGTAAAATAATAAAAGGTATATAAAGAATTCTTAGACCTCACAATTTTACTAAACATGGATGGCACGGTAAAAGTAAAGTAAAAAGTAGCCTACTACATTGTTTTTGTGGGTTATGTCCATCATTGGGGAGAAATAGTGTAGCTGCTTTAAAATATTTTGTTATAAAAGTTCTCTTTATACATACTGCTACTACCCATACTTTCACACACACTAATAAAGGCACAGTTATGCAAACACACGTACATACACACATATTACTACACACACTGTACATACACACATACTACTACACAGACTGTACATACACACACTATATACATACACACACTATACACAAACACAAACTGAAAAACATACTTACAAATACAGTTGCAAGAAAGTGTATGTGAACCCTTTGGAATGATATGGATTTCTGCACAAATTGGTCATAAAATGTGATCTGATCATCATCTAAGTCACAACAATAGACAATCACAGTCTGCTTAAACTAATAACACACAAAGAATGAAATGTTGCCATGTTTTTATTGAACACACCATGTAAACATTCACAGTGCAGGTGGAAAAAGTATGTGAACCCTTGGATTTAATAACTGGTTGAACCTCCCTTGGCAGCAATAACTTCAACCAAACGTTTCCTGTAGTTGCAGATCAGACGTGCACAACGGTCAGGAGTAATTCTTGACCATTTCTCTTTACAGAACTGTTTCAGTTCAGCAATATTCTTGGGATGTCTGGTGTGAATCGCTTTCTTGAGGTCATGCCACAGCATCTCAATCGGGTTGAGGTCAGGACTCTGACTGGGCCACTTCAGAAGGCGTATTTTCTTCTGTTTAAGCCATTCTGTTGTTGATTTACTTCTATGCTTTGGGTCATTGTCCTGTTGCAACACCCATCTTCTGTTGAGCTTCAGCTGGTAGACAGATGGCCTTAAATTCTCCTGCAAAATGTCTTGATAAACTTGGGAATTCATTTTTCCTTCGATGATAGCAATCCGTCTAGGCCCTGATGCAGCAAACCAGCCCCAAACCATGATGCCCCCACCTCCATACTTGACAGTTGGGATGAGGTTTTGATGTTGGTGTGCTGTGCCTTTTTTTTGCCACACATAGTGTTGTGTGTTTCTTCCAAACAACTCAACTTTGGTTTCATCTGTCCACAGAATATTTTGCCAGTACTGCTGTGGAACATCCAGGTGCTCTTGTGCAAACTGTAAACGTGCAGCAATGTATTGTTTGGACAGCAGTGGCTTCCTCTGTGGTATCCTCCCATGAAATCCATTCTTGTTTAGTGTTTTACGTATTGTAGATTCGCTAACAGGGATGTTAGCATTTGCCAGTGACTTTTCTAAGTCTTTAGCTGACACTCTAGGATTCTTCTTCACCTCATTGAGCAGTCTGCGCTGTGCTCTTGCAGTCATCTTTACAGGACGGCCACTCCTAGGGAGAGTAGCAGCAGTGCTGAACTTTCTCCATTTATAGACAATTTGTCTTACCGTGGACTGATGAACAGCAAGGCTTTTGGAGATACTTTTATAACCCTTTTCAGCTTTATGCAAGTCAACAATTCTTAATCGTAGGTCTTCTGAGAGCTCTTTTGTGCGAGGCATCATTCACATCAGGCAATGCTTCTTGTGAAAAGCAAACCCAGAACTGGTGTGTGTTTTTTATAGGGCAGGGCAGCTGTAACCAACACCTCCAATCTCATCTCATTGATTGGACTCCATTTGGCTGACATTTAGCTCTTGGAGATGTCATTAGTCTAAGGGTTGACATACTTTTTCCACCTGCACTGTGAATGTTTACATGGTGTGTTCAATAAAAACATGGCAACATGCTTTGTGTGTTATTAGTTTAAGCAGACTGTGATTGTCTATTGTTGTGACTTAGATGATGATCATATCACATTTTATGACCAATTTGTGCAGAAATCCATATCATTCCAAAGGGTTCACATACTTTTTCTTGCAACTGTACATATACACACAGATATGCACTCAGACATGGACATGGTCTATACAACAAAACCACTCTATTAAGCTAAAGTTGTTTTGGTGCATATAGTGTCCCTTGAAATATCAGAACAATATCATTACATCTTCTTTTCCTGGGATTTTATTAATAATGGACTATCATCACTTTTACTGTAATCCACTGAGGGCCTCCATAACAATCAGTTACCAGTGAAAACCCAATCTAGGACCCTCCCTTCCCAAATAAAGGAAAATAGGTTGAGCAAAACCAGGGATGCTTATTGAGTAGTTCACTTTCTAAAATGTGTGGAAAGGTTTAGTGTAACAATAACTGAGTTCGGGCGATTAAATACCCTTACAATTTTCTGCACAGTCAACTTTTCCCTAAGCTCCTACTGAAGCAACGCTTTCCCCTAATACAGAACCAGGGATGTTGGTATTGTGTTGCTAGATATATAAATCACCACTTAACTATCTAATATATAAAACTTTCACTCCATAACCACCAGGCCCAGACAATAAAATCAATCCTTCCTACCTATAAGCTTTTAAATTAAATTATGGTCAGTTTTAGTGGGAACATTACATCTCCTATATAGACAATTGTCCTTTTACTATGGTTAAAGGACCACTATAGTGCCAGGAAAACATACTCATTTTCCTGGCTCTCTAGGGTCCTTGGGTCCCCCTCACCCTCTGGGCCCCCCTCCAGCCAGGCTCTAGGGTGAGGAAGGGGTTAATCCCTTACCTTTTTTCCAGTACCGGGCTCCCTCGGCGCTGGGGACTCTCCTCCTCCTTTCCCCGTCCCCGTCATTCTCTATGCTTTCCTATGGACGCTGGCGTCTTCTCACTGTGAAAATCACAGTGAGAAGCACGAAGCGCCTCTAGCGGCTGTCAATGAGACAGCCACTAAAGGCTGGATTAACCCATTTGTAAACATAGCAGTTTCTCTGAAACTGCTATGTTCACAGCAGAAAGGGTTATTCCTAGATGGACCTGGCACCCAGACCACTTCATTAAGCTGAAGTGGTCTGGGTGCCTATAGTGGTCCTTTAATGCATGCTGACTTGTGAATAATTGGAAAAAATATTGTAACAAACAGGACAAAAAGGCACAAGTTCTAGTAAACCTTTAACAAAAATAGCTTTTTTTTAGAAACTTTTTTGTTGTTTTGTTTGAGAAATAGTGGATAATTTGTCTTTATTCTATTAATTTGTATTTATCATGTTTAATAAATAATGAGCCCACTCAATCCGCGGTGGGACACCTCCTCCAGACACTCGTGGGTCCCGACACAAAATTTGAACTCAATCAAAACCCTTCTGACTCGTCACAAACTGATAGACTGCTGGAGGGCATACCACCCGGATGAGAAGGACTACACCTTCTTCTCACACTCACACAACACATATACTAGACTGGACTACCTCTTTACCTCACACTATCATCTACCAATAACACGCGAGGCAGAGCACGGGGTGGCGACATGGTCAGACCACGCGCCAGTACTCCTGACACTCTTGTCCCCCTTATACAAACCCCGGTTCAACAAATGGAGACTAAATGAATATCTCCTAACCAGACCCGACTTAACAACCGATATCAATGAAGCGCTCAAAGATTACTTTGAGACGAACACTGCCGAACAAACCTCGCCGACCATTAGATGGGAGGCCCACAAAACCGTAATTCGTGGACACTTCATCCGTCAGGGCACCATCTTTAAAAAGCAGACCAGCAGTCGCCTGACAGAACAAGTGACGGAAATACAAAAGGTAGAAGCACTTAACAAAAACACACAACACACGACACACCAGGCGACACTACTACATCTAAGACGGGAGCTGACGGGCCTTTTACATAGGAAACACCATAGAGAAGTAATTAGGCATAAGGCTTTTTTTCAGCTCCACGGCAATAAGAGTGGTAAACTTCTGGCCAGAATGCTAGTCAAACAAAGACAAAGGACATACATTGACAAAATGAGAGACACACAGGGCACCTTACATCACTTACCCTCTAAAATCCTAGACATAACGCGGGACTACTACTCAAACCTGTATGCCATCCCCCGACCCCCAACTACACAAGGCGAAAGAGGGTCTACGGGAGAGAATACAAACCTATCTAACGGCCCACCCCCTCCCGTCCATAGAAGGGGAAATCGCAGACAGTCTAGACGAACCAATCTCAATAGAGGAACTAGCTCAGGCCGTCAAAGTGACAAAACAGGGTAAAAGCCCAGGCCCGGACGGGCTACCACTAAAGTATTACAAAACATTAGCGGAACACTTATATCCCCCTCTTCTAGATGCACTGAATGCACTGAGGGAAGGACATCACCTTCTAAAACAAGCACTAATAGCACACATCGCACTCATTCCGAAGGAGGGAAAGGACAGGGAACACTGTGGGAACTATAGGCCCATCTCGCTCATCAACTGCGATGTCAAACTGTTGGCAAAAATATTGGCTACATGCCTCCAAACACACATCCCCACACTAATACACCCGGACCAGGTGGGTTTCGTTATGGGACGTGAGGCTAGAGACAACACGATCAGAGCATTGACTCTCATGCACAGACAAGATTGAGGGGACAAAGGCGTTCTGCTGCTGTCCACGGATGCAGATAAGGCCTTCGACAGAGTTGACTGGCAAAACATGTTACACACACTGACACATATCGGGCTGGGACCGCACTTCTGGAGATGGGTAGAGGCACTGTACAACGGGCCCACTGCCCATGTCATTGTAAATGGAGCCCTGACAAATTAATTCCCCATAAACTACGGCACAAGGCAGGGATGCCCTCTATCCCCCCTGCTCTTTGTGCTGACACTCGAGCCCTTTCTGACACACATACAACACAACGCAGCTATTAGGGGTATTGGAAAGGGAGACACGCAACACAAGGTAGCGGCATACGCCGACAACCTCCTTTTCTTCGTCACCAACACAGAGATCTCACTCCCAAATATCTTGAAGGCCTTCAGGACCTTCGGGGAGATAGCCAACCTTAAAATCAACTTCACAAAATCCTATATCTTGAACGTTAGTATACCTGAACACAGAGCCACCCCCTTGAAGCAGAGCCACACATTCCAATGGGCTCAACACAAGATACAGTACATAGGCACATTGTTGACGAGGAGGGAAAATGACATATTCAGAGAAAATTTTATCCCCCTGCTAGATAGGTTCCAGAAAGACCTGTCGGATTGGGCGTACCCACACATATCATGGCTAGGCAGGATCCAGGTAATAAAAAATTAACCTGCTATACCTCATGCAAGCCCTACCTATAATCATCCCCAGATCATTTTTTCAGACCCTGAGACAGGCAACTGGAAAATACGTATGGGACCACAGGAGACCGAGAGTTAAGATGACTGCACTGACGCTACCCAAAGACAGGGGAGGACTGGCCATGCCAGACTTCACCCTGTACTATGAATCCTGCCACCTCCAAAGAATTATGGAGTGGACAAAAGAGAGAGTGTTCAAGAGATCGAAAGAAATAGAGGAAACGGAAGAGGGGAAACCGCTGTCCACTCTACCATGGCAGAGGAGCGTATGGACCGGAGGACAGGGTTCACCCTACACAACTGCAACAATACGGGCATGGGGGAGAGTAGCAAAGAGATGTGTACTAGCGCAGTTCCCATCCCCCCTGCTCCCCCTAACGCACAACGACAGTTTCCCACCGGGATTAGACCCTAACGCATTCAGAGACCTGCTCCAACACAAGATACCTAGACTACACCACCTCCTGGATGGAACTAATTGCAAAACCCTCCTGACCCTATTAGAGGGATCCACCCCCACCCTCCTACACCACCTAAAACACAGACAGCTACAAAGCTATGTTCATACTCTCCCACGGGGCATAGCACTTAAATGGGACCCCACCACATTCAAAAGAATGTGTATGGAGCGAGACCCACAACCGCACAGGATCTGACTCATTTACTCCATGCTACAGAGGGAAACTCCAACGGAGAAACCCAAATTTATGGGGAGATGGGAAAAAACACTGGGGAAAACTTTCACCGACGGAGACTGGGAGAAGATATGTTACTTAATGCACCACTGCTCAGTCTTCAGCAGGACACAGGAAACCACGTTCAAACTGCTGACGAACTGGTACCGCACCCCAATCATACTCCATGCCATAGACCCGGAAACCCATGGACCTCTGCTGGAGGTGCAATAAGGAGGCCGGCACCGCGCTCCACCTATGGTGGGAGTGCGAGGCCATATGGCCCTTCTGGCAGGGCATACACGGCTTCCTCAAAACCTTCTCAGACACACCACCTCCTTTTCTCCCTGAAAACATGCTCCTACACCACACAAAATCCCCAGACAGGTATATGGAAATATGGACCCACTGTATACTGACTACTACCAAGGCAGAATTCACAAATAGACTCAAATATGACACGTAGACGACGAGGTGGCGAGGCCGCATAGACCGATAAACTAAGAGACGAACTGGACAGACACAACCCAGACAGAGATGCACCCTCCCCCACAGACAACTCAGCCCTGGTACCCCCCCAACACTACACACAAGCTAACAAGAACAATGCACACGGACGCACGAGCCCAACGGAATACCACCGACAGGAAGTACACGGGATAGCACCATCAAACCCGAATCCACATAGCCTCTCAGAACCACAACACACAGGGATATGGGAAGAAAGCAACTGCACGCCACTGAAGGCCAACAGGGCCAAAACCACACACCCGAACACCTGAGAACGGAAAAACTAACTTAAGACACAGGGGCAGAAACCAACCCAACAGACACAACACACAATATCCGATGCCTCCACACCTCACCCATAAAATTGATACCTACCATGGGCCTGCGTGCCGCAAATATGGTGACAAACAAGAGACCTGCGTGTCTGTGATTTCTGTCTACAAAATGTACTCAAAATATTTGTTACTGTTGACACTAATTTTATGGTTTCATTGTTTTTTTTCCCCTTCACTTCATCAGCATTAAGTCTAAATGAGGTAAGAGCATGCAAAAGCCTTTTGATTAGCAAAAATACATGTTTACCTATTTACTGTGCTTTTTATTTGATAGCTAACCATTATGAAAAGAATAAAGAGAAGGTGGGGTGTACTTTAGTAGGTGCAATGCTAATGTAACATACAGTACAGAATTCTATAGGTCTTTTTTTACTGAACTCCTGTTTACGTGGGACTTTCTATATTCACATAAATATTGTATCACAGTATCTTGATACGTGTGTAGCACCCGCAGAACATCCTAGTAACAATGTTACTATCCTCCCGTGGAGTTAGCTATTATAGGTCTAACCAAGGTCAGGTCGTGTGATAGAAATGTGACAGTGTAGATGGAACACACGGCCAATAGTTAGAGATAAGTCATATATATTCTGGATGAGTCTTAAGGTCTGAATGAGGCAAGAGTCTCTAACTCTCATAACAATGTATGTACATAACAATCTAATGCCAAATTCAAATTTATTATTACAGCCTAGCCACCTACATACCATGAAAAGGAGTAAACTTTTGAGAAGTGCTAAACCAGAATATTCTTATTGTAGCCAATGTCTACAGTGAAGCTGGGTCTTGCGAAAATCTATATACTTTTAGCTGTTAATTGTTATGTTTATATGCTGAAAGCACAGGCCTAGCTAATTGCAAGGATCTCTGTTGCTACATTGTCCACTAGATATAATCCTTGAATAGCTATTACACTTTTGATGAAGGTATGTCTACAGAGCCATCTTGTAATTTTCTTTTGTAACTGTATTGACAGTGGCACAGCAAATCCTGCAAATGTGATTGCCAAGGAGGATCCAGGTCATTGTCTTCCAAAGTTGCAGCGCTAGATTGCATGCCAGGTGAGAGTATAATTTTACTGAGATTAGAGCAATGGTTCCCAACCCAGTCATCAAGAACCCCCTAACAGTCTAGGATTTAGGGATTACCTAGTTGTGTCTAAGGTATTTTTAGAAAAGAAAAAAAAAAAAAGAAACACTTCAGACACAACAGGGTAATTTTAAATCCTGGACTAGTAGGGGGTACTTGAGGACTGAGTTGGGAACCACTGTTATAGAGTGTTATAATGGTCAAAGTTTACATTTGCATTTCACATCAACAAATCTTTGTAATTTTCATTGTACAGTGGCAAAATAAATGCACGACTTTTACATCTTAATGTGAGGTGCATTATAGCCATAACATTGTATATTACCTGTTTCTTTTCCAATTATTTGTAAATCATGATTCTTTTATGAGATTTGTAAATCATTGGTTGGAAGACTAAGGTTGTTTCTATCGACTCTAGATAAATTTTTCTTAACAACCAGGTCTAGACCCAAACCTTTGCTCCCATATAATTTAGGGGATCTTTGCTTGTAAGAACAGATAAAGCATAATAATCAGGCCATAGTCAATCACACACAGTAAGAATACATACCAGCACTGCCTTTCCCAATGCAATATAAATAAGTATACTAAAGCTGCAGAATCAAAAACATACTACTATATACTAAATAAGATAAGAGCTACCCAAAGTGACAAAAAAAAATCACACAAAAGACAAGCCTGACACGCATTTTGGCATGTATACCCTGTCGAAGGTGTGGTGCTACACGCCGAATCTTATATTATTTAGTATGTAGTAGTATATTTTTGATTCTCCCGCTTTAGTGTGGACTATTTTCTTAGGTATGTAGGCAAACCATTGACGTGAACAGAGGTAATGTGGGATTTATTAGGCCTAGCAGGACTGTAGCTATTTGTTGTACAGGGTTCCAAGCAGCCTTTTTGACCTTTTGGTGGCTTGTGTAGACACACATGTTTGTAGGTGTCCCAAGGTGTTGCTAGGTTTATCCTAGGTTGCAGTGTTTTTTTCCTTGGTTTATAGTGAAAAAACACTATAAACCATAGACACTGGTCTATGGTAGGCACACAGTCTTTTAGGTTTGTTGAGGTATATTCAGGAGAAGGTTTGCTGGGGGTTTGAATTAAGTCATATCTATACTCCTCATTTTGCTGTATATTCCTGCCTTTATTATTATCTTTAAGTTTATTTTCTGATTATAGAGGTTTACTATCTTTTTCTTTGGCACCCAGATCTTAGGTGTGCTGAGAGATAGGCAGGTATCTGTGTCTCTGGGATATTGTGTTAACCTAGGGACAATGAGAGGTTTTAGCGAATACTCCCCTTTCAGTCTTTTTCTTACCCTTATCCACCTGTATTCCTGCTACTCCTTTGTTCAGCTTATTTTATTTATTGGTTGTCTACACCATAGATAGCTGTTTCTTCTCACTCCTCTAATGGTATTTTGGATTTGATATGCAATGCTATTCATTAGACATAGAGATTTCCTCGGAAAGCTCATCAAATATAGCTTTTTAGGACACCCTGCTAGGAGTGTAAAATACCATTTGTATCTGTGAATTATCACAAGCACGTGTCTGATTGGTCCATGTGTAATAAAGACCATTTTTAGTATCTTGTTTTGTTACATTCAATATATTATATACCCACCTTTCACAGATCATAATCCTCAGTGACCTATGTGCCACTGTGGTTTAATAAGGTGTTTTTTGTCTATTAATACTTTGCGGGTTACGCCCTACAGAGGAGTCACTGGGTCAAGATTTACTTAACCTACAGGTTCCTTTTCACTATATACAGGATTATAAAATCCCTTGAGTGACTGTAGCCCTAGATCATGATGCAGCCATGCTTAACTACTCCCTTTTACTGAAGAAGCTTATGTTAAGGAGCACATTTTATGATTGCGTATTTTATCATACTCGTTCATCATTCAATTTAATACTTAAAAAAAAATAATAATAACACAAGATATATGTCTTAACCATGGAGAAAGTGTATAAACGGATCATGTTTTTAAACTGGTACTGCATATAATTCGATATAACTAATGAATTACAAAGTTTGAAAGCTATCGTGCAGATCCTGGACCCATACATGTTCCTGTTTTTCCAAAATTGAAGCAGTTATCATTTCATTTTAATTCAGCCCTTACCCAATAATGATAAGTTCAGAGAGGGATTCAGAAGATAGAAACAGGTGATAGGCTTTGGTTTCAAATAAACTACAATTTGTCTGCAGTTTGAGCGATTGGCGGGTCGTCCAAAATTCACAACTCAGAAGCACAATATGGACGTATGACGAAACAACGGACAACAAGTTTTATTTGTTTCAAGATTTGGAGTTCCGCCCAAGGCACCAAAAAAGAGATAATAGGAAAAAAAGACAAGTTATTCCTAGGGAACAACCACTAAATGGTTGATTATATTCACAGATCAAGTGAGAAGTGACCAATAGAGGGGCAAAAATAAGCAGAAAAAAAATCTGTATTTATATATTATATATTTCATCAATATATCATATAGAAATTTTGAGAAATTTTTTTTACTGCTCCTCCTTCCTCTCTTCCCCCCCTCCTCTTGTTGGTCACTTCTCACTTGCATAGCAGGAAAGTGTTCCTATTAGTGTATTGGAAAATATAGGTAATAGTTTTATTTGGTATATATTTTACAGTCCACTGGCCAATTTTCACTTCATTTTGTTTTCTCGGTTTTCAATTGGTTTCCCCAAAACGATTGGGTGAAGAGCAGTTGTCTGAAGTGAAACGTCACATGGTTGAATTTTGGTCCACCCGGACAAATTTATTTGCCCAAACCGTGCTTGTCTTCCCATCTTTACTGCTTGCCTAGTCCACAGGTTTGCAAGTTGGATAGAGTTGAAATTGATAATGTTGAAATGTAAATTCTGCAACATTATTAAACTGGCCTAAAAAGGTTACAGTCTCTAGGTACTAAACAGAGGCCCAGTTTTAGTCAAATCACTCTCATACAATTTGACAAAGAGTGCAGGTTATGCCCCTAGACTCTTTGCAGCATAACTATTACATCGAACTATAGCATTTATGGTATTCTTTTTAATGATGTGAACAACTATATAGCCTTTTATCTTAGCCTTTTTAATAATGTGAAAAAATACATTTATCTTGTTAAAATGTATTCATAAGTATTCAAGCAGCTGTAATTGTATTATTTTATTTTACATACATCTTTCTCCCAGCGTGTAAGCTGCCTACACACCCATTTTTAGATCCATTTTTTGCCAATTATGTAAAATAGTGTTTTCATAAACCAATTCCAAATTTTAAATGTCTTGATTCAAATGTCTTTCATGTATATTTTCCAGATGATCTAGTATCAGAATTTTTTTTTTTTAATACAATTCTTTATTTTTGCAGTGCATGCGATTAAAAACAGGCTTGCAATACCACAACAGTATACGCAAGCAATTCAAGTAACAGACTATAACTTTGACATGGTTTATGAAATAACTGAACAATTTTTTATTTTTTTAAAGTAAAATCAGGCTGGTTATTAAACGGAATGGTACATATAGCAGTACGGAATCATCCTGCAGTGATCTGTCTACTCTAACTGATAGTGCTTTAGTAAAATAAAACATGCTTGATAACAGGCTAGACATATTCAGCTGAACACAGGCTGGAATGTAAGGTATTTTCTAGGCATAGCAAAAGCAAGGCGCAAGAGTGTACTGAGATGAATTTTCTAGGCATGGCACCAAACACTGGGAGATTGCCAGGTGAGGATGAGTAGGGTGTATGGTAAGCAATCCATTCATGGCTGTACAAGCAAAGTACTAACTGCCAATTAGAAGGCACAGCCTATGTACATTTAAGCCATGCTTGGATTAGTAGTGTCTAGCAGGTTTAGGGGACAGGTATTTAGAAAAAAACGAGTAAGAAAAGATATGTCAATAGAACATGAAATGACAGGATGTAGGGTTAACCACGCTAGTTATCATGAGAATACAGGAACCACTGGGTGATGAGTAAAAAATAAAGGCAGCCACAATTATGATACTAGTACATAGTAATACATTGGGTGAGTAGCTTTGCAGGAATAATTAAAATACAAGTAAAATAGCAGAAGGAAAAAGAAACGTTCATCAGGACACCAGCTAGCCAATTAATCTGTTCACCCAATGCCTCGGATGGGCCATGGTAAAAATGTCTTCCCCCTTTCAGAAACAGCACCCCATCTCCCCGTCACCGGACCTGGAATGAATGCCCCACTGCTGAGTGATTCTCGAACCACAGGCCATCAGTGCCGCATGTCTTTGGCTCCAGGCCTGAGCAGGAGCCTGCGCCTCATGTCCATGGATCCTGCGTGCCAATGTGGTAGGATCGTGAGTCCGCTGGTGCACTGACTTCTTTGACGTCCTCCGGGTATATGGAAGGTGAAGTGGAGATTTCTCCAAGTGGGTCCCCGGCCCAGAGGAGTGTAACGGACCGTTTTGCCCACAAGAGGTTAAAAACCGTTTAGGCGATATTCCCCTTTCAGATGCACAGACAGCTACTGCAATAACCAATCTCCCGAACTGGAGACACACGAATACCGGAAACTGCTGAACAGGAAAAACCATATGCAAGGTTTACACTCCTGGCAGTCAGCATACCATCCAATTCCGCCAATAACGAGACGACACTTCGTTTGAGGGTTAAGCAGAATATGTTTACTGGCACCAAAAGAACCTTCTTTTATGCAGGTTTCCCTTAGATAGGACCACCCACAGGGTTTTACAAAACAACCGATCATACATGTATATTACAGAAACACTCCCAGCATTTACATACAAAAATCCTCCCCTCTGGCTGTGATATAATTATGTTACACAATGGTTTAACATAATTAACACAGGCAGTAAAAATACAGTTTTTATACATATCCTGTAACTTTAAAACCATACATCCAATCTTCATAAAAAAATGACATATTTAGAATTAGCAACTTTCAAATATAAATATAACCAAAAATCAGCCAAATCCATCCAGGGGTTCAAAAGTTAGCTGGAGTTCCCTTTATGACCGACCGCAAGCACATTTTCCTGCCGAAAACAGTTCCATAGATTTGGGCTGTGCGGTCGGTCTATTTCAGGCTGAAAAAACGACTAAGTCCCATCGCTGAATGGGACTTAATCTCTGCGGCTGCAAAATCATTGTGGGAGAAGGTAGAGCTCAGCAGTGTTTGCGGGAATGTGTAGCCGATTTTAGTTCCATGAATTTGGCTACACATACCGCTGTCCTCGTGCAAATGAACAAAGATGGCCACCGCCAAGCGTTCGGCAAACGAACAAAGGCCACCCTGCATTGTCAATTAAGCTGCGGTTAACCGCAGCTTCTGGGAGGTAAATTGCCGACACACTCCCAATACAGGTGGTCCGCCTGTGTGGTACTTGGTTCAGTAAGCCCCATTTACTGAACCAAGTGGGAAATAGCTAGAAACAAAGGGTTTTAACCAGGTCTGGGGACACAGAGGACACTGTCTTAAAGGGGCAGTGTCCCAAACAAGTCTGGGGACATCGTCTTAAAGGGGCAGTGTCCCAATTTTCCCTATGCCCCAAAAAGGTGCTTAAAGGGCCAGCACCAATCCCATAAAACGTACATAAGCCCCAATATGCCCACCGACTGTCTTAAAGGGCCATACACACCCAATAAAAGTCCATAAGTTTTCACAATCTCCCAGGGGCCATAGTCTAAAGGCATCAGGCGGGCAACCAGGCTTCTCCAGTGCATAGTGGCGAAGTTGGTTCCTCCACAAGAGGTACTTCACTTTGGTTCATTGGCATGGGGGGGGGGTAAGGCAATCCAATGCCAAAACCATTCACAGATGGCATCAAATTTCGTTAGGAAGAAGTCTCTCCATTCTTGACCCTCCAGGCTCATTCGACTGTGAGAAAGTTCCAACATGGCAGCCATTTTGGTTGCACCACACTGCGTTTATGGCCACCAGCATTAGCTGTTTTTTGCATGTGAAGAGGTAAAGTGACCAGTGGGGAATCGGATGACCCCCGCCGGTCCAAAGGAGGGGTATCAGGGCTCTGTGAAAGCTGCTGTGGTATGCGTGCAGACCCGCAGGAGATTGGCTGCCTCTCACCCCGGCCTGCACGCCAGCACCAGTAAGCCACGGAGATGATCACAGCTGCTAGTCGGCAGGTAACTCTGGATTGGGCTTAGGGATTTGTGCTTGGCTATGATGGCAATCTGTTTGCTGCTCCGGAAGTTTAAGGTAAAGATTTTGAAGTGGTTGCCCTTGTTTATTGCTCAAGTGGTCAGGCGCTACAGAAAAGCACAACCAGCCATCTTGCTGATCAGGCCCCGTCCCCTTCAAGAGAGTGCTCCTAATCTCAGCTAGTTACCTGTAAAAAAGACACCTGGGAGCCAGAAATCTTGCTGATTGATAGGGGATTTCACAAGAAAGGTAGTAGGGAGGATTCAGGCAACTATAGGCCAATAAGTCGTACTTCAGTAGTTGGGAAAGTAATGGAAACAATGTTAAAGGATAGGATTGTTGAGCATCTAAAAATCACAAGGATTTCAACATCAGAGACAACATGGGTTTACTTCAGGGAGATCATGCCAAACTAAATCGTATTGATTTTTTTTGATTGGTTAACTAAAATAATAGATCAGGGTGGTGCAGTAGACATAGCTTACCTAGATTTCAGCAAGGCTTTTGACACTGTTCCCCAGAGAAGGCTTATCAATAAACTGCAATCTTTAAGTTTGGATTCCAATATTGTTGAATGGGTAAGGCAGTGGCTGAGTGACAAGCAACAGAGGGTTGTACTCAGTGAAGTATATCTGAAGCATGGGTTTGTCACCAGTGGGGTATCTCAGGGATCTGTACTTGGACCCATTTTCTTTAATATTTTTATTAGTGATGTTGCAGAAGGTCTTGATGGTAAGGTATGTCTATTTGCTAATGATACTAAGATATGTAGCAGGGTTGATGTTCCAGGAGGGATAAGCCAAATGGCAAATGATTTAGTTAAACTAGAAAAATGGTCAGAGATGTGGTAACTGACATTTAATGTGGATAAGTGCAAGATAATGCATCTTGGATGTAAAAACCCAAGGCAGAGTACAGAATATTTGATAGAGTCCTAACCTTAACATCTGAGGAAAGTGATTTAGGGGTAATTATTTCTGATGACTTAAAGGTAGGCAGACAATGTAATAGAGCAGCAGGAAATGCTAGCAGAATGCTTGGTTGTATAGTGAGAGGTATTGGCAGTAGAAAGAGGGAAGTGCTCATGCCATTGTAAAGAACACTTGTGAGACCTCACTTGGAGTATTGTATGCGGTACTGGAGAACGTATCTCCAGAAGGATATTGATACTTTGGAGAGAGTTCAGAGAAGGGCTACTAAACTAGTTCATGGATTGCAGGATAAAAGGTTAAAGGGACACTATAGTCACCTGAACAACTTTAGCTTAATGAAGCAGTTTTGGTGTATAGAACATGCCCCTGCAGCCTCACTGCTCAATCCTCTGCCATTTAGGAGTTAAATTCCTTTGTTATGAACCCTAGTCACACCTCCCTGCATGTGACTTGCACAGCCTTCCATAACCACTTCCTGTAAAGAGAGCCCTAGTTAGGCTTTCTTTATTGCAAGTTCTGTTTAATTAAGATTTTCTTATCCCCTGTTATGTTAATAGCTTGCTAGACCCTGCAAGAGCCTCCTGTATGTGATTAAAGTTCAATTTAGAGATTGTGATACAATTATTTAAGGTAAATTACATCTGTTTGAAAGTGAAACTAGTTTTTTCTTCATGCAGGCTCTGTCAATCATAGCCAGGGGAGGTGTGGCTAGGGCTGCATAAACAGAAACAAAGTGATTTAACGCCTAAATGACAGTGAATTGAGCAGTGAAATTGCAGGGGAATGATCTATATACTAATACTGCTTTATTTAGCTAAAGTAATTTAGGTGACTATATTGTTCCTTTAAAGAAACTTAACATGTATAGCTTGGAGGAAAGACGAGACAGGGAGATTTGAGAGAAACATTTAAATACATAAAGGGAATCAACACAGTAAAGGAGGAGACTATAATTAAAAGAATAAAAACTACCACAACAAGAGGACATAGTCTTAAATTAGAGGGGCAAAGGTATAAAAATAATATCAGGAAGTATTACTTTATTGAGAGGGTAGTGGATGCATGGAATAGCCTTCCAGCTGAAGTGGTAGAGGTTAACACAGTAAAGGAGTTTAAGCATGCGTGGGATAGGCATAAGGCTATCCTAACCTACCATTAAAATTATAAACTGGTCATTTCCTTGTCAGTGGACAAACGTTCAAAATCAGCAGGGTATCAAATACTTTTTTCCCTCACTGTAAGTAAATAAGTAAGTGGAATGCACGGAGATCACTGGTAGGAAAAGTACCTCCAGGAGGCCCCTTGGGCAGGTTAGCCCTGAGTCGAAAATACATGAAACATGTCTTCCTTAGTGTCGAATGCTGGGATGCCACATCTGAGAGAGAATGCAACTGCTCGGCTGTGAGTGACTTAGAATCAGGCCTAGGTGTACAGTTGCCGAATGGAAGTTCTGCTGGAAAGCAAAGGCTTTTAAAGTGTAAACGGCTCGTCTAAAAGCTTCAGATGTCAGCTTTGCTGTTTGTTATACCTAGCACACGAGGCATAGTTTGTTCAAGCACGTAGCTGTAATAATTTACAAAATTAGGAGTATTTGCACGGCGCTCACTCCATGTGCTGCCATTCAACATGGCAGTCAGGCCCCGCCCCCAAGGTTTTTATTTTTAGAAATATTGAGTACTGTGTTATATCATAATTTATGGTATTTACAAAATGTTAAAGATGTTTTGTTTAATTTATTATATATTCTGGTCTTAATAAGGGATCCAAAGACCTTAAATTAAGGATTAGGCACTTTCACCCAGTGGAATTGTGGAATGCATGACATGTGAGCTGCAATAAAATAGCACCTTAAATATAAAACAGGAATAAAGTATGGATCTCTGCCTTCAACTTTCAAGCACTTCTTTCAATATTGACAGCCACGTAATTCTTGACTTGAGACATAAAACGGAGAATCTTTGGAAGAGGAGCATCAAGTCTGACATTCCCGGAGAGATATACACTGGGAAGACGCATTGGCTCATCCATACGCCATCTTGGGAGAGCTGCAGCATTGATCTGTAGGCAACAAACATAGATTCACCTGTATTGCTTCCTTCAAGAGTCTTGCAGGGGTGTCCACATGTCAGGCCAAGAAAAAACCCATATGGTTCACAAAAACAATTAACTGCTTCTGGCTGGATGTCTTTAACATAATTTCACAGAGTGTTAATGATGCTGGGGAATGCTTGGCTGGACTTTATATATTTGTTAGCCCTTTCCATTGATTGCTCCTCATTGGCTTGTGATCCATGTGGACATGGAGATGATTTTGGGAGAGGCACTTAGGCCAGAGGTGTTCTTGTTTCACAGTACATCCCTTTCACTAAAAATACTTGGTCCATCATCTCTTAAAGGTGGACAAATCATTTATCGAATCTTCTGGAAATTAGGGGAGGTTTCTTCTCTCAAAAAGTAGACAGAATAGAAGCTATAAGATAGACTAATGCTATGATGGGTTCTCTGTATGCAAATGGGCACATAATGCCAGGGCCTGCTTTCCTTATTTGATGGGAAATGTTATCTACTTTTTATGATCTTGGTAAGCAAATTATTAATAAAGAATATAAAAATGTTTTTCAGAATGTCCATATCATAAACCTCTTGGTTTTGAATCTGGAGCCATAAGTGCAGAGCAGTTAACATCTGCTAGCCAGGACCAGTATTCAGGATGGTACTCATCATGGACTCCCAACAAAGCAAGGCTTAATGGACAAGGCTTTGGGTAAGTTAATTAATTCTTTGCCATGGTATGAGAATGTCAAAGAATGTTCTTAATACAAAAAGCACTGTATTTTTTTAGCTCACAGCATATTTCTATATAGATGACCATAAAAATGATTAACCTTATAAAATGCATTGCCAATTTAAAAAAAAGAAAAAGAAATAAACAAACAAATAATTATAATCTGGAGCCTATAAACATATAAACTGTACAAGAGAGAGAGACCTGGAAATGGGCTGCCTCGTAGATATAGGTCAAAATAGTAATTGTATGTTGCAGTTTTTTATGCACTAACGGTATATACAGATTCTCCTTGCTATATTACTTCCTTCCAACAAAAAGTATTTTTAGTACTATTATATGCAATATTATAAATGTATGTTTTTGTAATTATTCTGGTCTTTATTACAAACAATTGCAATTTTGTCTTTTTTTTTTTTAAATGCCAATAGATGTGCATGGCTAGCTAAAATCCAAGACAATGGACAATGGCTACAGATAGACCTGAGAGATGTGAAGGTTATTTCTGGCATTATGACACAAGGAAGATGTGACATAGATGAGTGGACGACAAAATACAGTGTTCAATATCGATTGGATGAGACTCTAAATTGGGTTTACTATAAAGATCAAACAGGAAATAATCGGGTAAGCGACATATAACAATTACCGTATATACTCGAGTATAAGCCGAGTTTTTCAGCACATTTTTTGTGCTGAAAAACCCCAACTCGGCTTATAGTCGAGTCAGTGTCTGTATTATGGCAATTTACATTAATTTACATTGCCATAATACAGACTGGGGGCTGGCAGAGCTGTTACTTACCTCTCCTGCAGCTCCTGTCAGCTCTCTCCTCCTCTGCACCTCGGTCAGCTCCCAGTGTAAGTCTCGTGAGAGCCGCGGGGTCATAGTGCGGCTCTCGCGAGACTTACAGTGTGAGCTGAGAGAAGAGCTGCACGGACCGGCGCGGAGGAGGAGAGAGCTGACAGGAGCTGCAGGAGAGGTAAGTTACAGCTCTGCCAGCTCCCCTCCTCCCCCCACTGAACTGCCAATGCCACTGGACCACCAGGGAAGGAGAGCCCCCCTCCCTGCCATGTATCAAGCAGGGAGGGGGGACAACAAAATAAATAAATAATAAAATAATATTAAAAATAATAATAAAAAAAAATATAACGAAAAAATTTAAATAATATTAATTAATAATATATAAATATAAATAATAATAAAAAAATAATTAAAAAAATAATATAACCAAAAAAATTAAAATAATAACTAATAATATTATTATTATTTTTTTTTTTATAAAAATGCCCACCCCCCACCAAGGCTCTGCAACACAAACACACACTGCATCACACACACACACACTGCATTCATATACACACACTGCACTCATACACACACACACTGCACTCATACACACACACACTGCATTCATGTACACACACTGAATTCATACACACACACTGCACTCATATACACACTGCGCACTCATACACACACTGCGCACTCATACACACACACTGCATCACACACACACACACTGCATTCATACACACACACTGCACTCATACACACACACTGCATTCATATACACACACACTGCACTCATACACACACACTGCATTCATATACACACACTGCATTCATACACACACACTGCACTCATACACACACACACTGCACTCATACACACACACACTGCATCACACACACACTGCATTCATACACACACACTGCACTCATACACACACACTGCACTCATACACACACACACTGCATTCATATACACACACTGCACTCATACACACACTGCGCACTCATACACACACTGCGCACTCATACACACACACTGCATTCATATACACACACTGCACTCATATACACACTGCGCACTCATACACACACACAGCATTCATCATATACACACACTGTAATTAAATATTCAATTAATATAATTTTTTTAGGATCTAATTTTATTTAGAAATTTACCAGTAGCTGCTGCATTTCCCACCCTAGTCTTATACTCGAGTCAATAAGTTTTCCCAGTTTTTTGGGGTAAAATTAGGGGCCTCGGCTTATATTCGGGTCGGCTTATACTCGAGTATATACGGTATTTCAGACTATATGCATGATTAAGGATATTGATTCTAATAAAAGTAGATGTGTTAACCTATATAACACCAACATACACACAATAACAATTACAAACCTTTTTTTATCTTGGAGGTCAACATTTCTATTTATTTGTTTTCCAATTGGGACACTCAGAATTTACTGGGAGTTATCTAATCTAATTATATATCCATTGTGTAAATTATGTTCAATATGAGTGACATTTTGGGGAAGATAATTCCAGTGGTCACATCTGCAAAGAAAGTCTCATCGGTGACAGAGTAAATAATTTCAAGGAAAGGGTTATACAAATCATGTGTTCAACTCAGCAATTTGCTGGGAAACACATATTCAATTTAACCAAGAGAAGATACTCTCTACATTTAAATGGATATGTTTAATGATGGTGTATGTAGTGGTGCGCTTTTTCTTGTCACACAATAACCATGATTTTTTTTTTTTTAATTCTAGGTATTTTATGGAAACTCAGATCGCTCTTCAACAGTGCAAAACTTCTTACGCCCTCCTATAATAGCACGTTACATAAGGATAATTCCACTGGGTTGGCATGTCCGCATAGCCATAAGAATGGAATTGCTTGAGTGTATGAGCAAATGTGCTTAACAATCAGAAAATTGTAAATTATCATACACAGAATATGTAGCAAACTTCCTAGTGTACATCTAGGTATACAAATGTATTCTAATAACTAATTTTTGATCAAGAAAAGTCATAAAAGTAGTTTTAAAACCCTTTATAGCTAAACATATTAGAGCTGCAACATATACACAACATTTATGTGATTATATTTTTAAAACACAGTATCTTGCATTGAAGAAGTTTTAAATGGTATAAGTTTGTGGACAGATTTTGTTGTGATAAAAAGCTACCATATAAAAAAAAAAAAGTTTTGTTTTAACCGTAAACAGTGTGCGACACGTTCATTTGAAGACTAAGAATGCTTAATGGATTTACTTTTCAAATTGTTTCCAATTTTTAAAACACCAACATTTTGAATAACAGACATAGCAAATAACTAAATGGAAAATACAATCTACAATTTTCAGGTCACAGTTGCCTTAGTATTTTTCAATCAGGTACTCAAACAAATCATAGTAATTTTTTAGCCGGTAAACCACACATATCTTTTGCTTCACACTTAACATTTTAAAAATTTTTTGTAAGATGACAAGTGATGGCAAATAAAAATTAAAAAAGCGATTTACTCACCTCTGGATGGTATTTTTTTTTGTGTTCCTGTGCAAGAGGCCTGGGAGTCTGGACAGCAATCTTAGATGTCACACCTGGAAGCTGCTGAAGCCCCTCTCGCAACTTGGGGGTGTCACAGTCCCAAGTGCTTCTATCACAACTGCCTCATTTCTTGCTATTTGTCCACCTTCTCATGTTCCTTCTTCCTGATGTTTTAGCTCCTGGGTATTGTCCCATCCACCACCACTGCAGTCTTCTGCTTCTTGTCAACCACCACAATGTCGGGGTGGTTGGCTATTAGTAGCTTAGCTGTCTTGATCTAAAAGTCCCATAGCATCAGCCCGCTCATTGTCAACTACCCTTTATGGTATCTCCCATCTTGACTTAGGCAGGTCCAGCCCATATTCTTTATATTATTATTATTATTATTATTATTATTATTATTAGGAATTATATAGCACCAACTGATTCCACAGCGCTTTACAATATTATAAAGGTGGAAATTTAACAATAACTGAGACGATTACAAAATGTTACAAGAACAGTAAGTTGAAGAGGACCCTGCTCAAACAAGCTTAGTCTAGAGGTGTTTCTATATATATGGATGTGAAGGTGGATGTGGCAATACCCAGTGACTATAACATCAGGAAGTAGGAACATGAGAAGGTGGAGAAATACCAAGGACTGGAAGAAGAACTAGAAAGGATGTGGAAGGTGAAGGCAGTAGTAGTCCCAGTTGTGATAGGAGCACTCGGGCCTTTGACTCCCAAATTGGGGGAGTGGCTTCAACAGATTCCAGGTGGGACATCTGAGATCGCTGTCCAGAAGAGTGCAGTTCTAGGAACAGCTAAGATACTGTACAGAACCCTCAAACTCCCAGGCCTCTGGTAGAGGACCCGAGAATGAGGATAAACATAACACCCAGGAGGGATATATATATATATATATATATATATATATACACAGATGAGAGAGATTTTAGCCATATTAGTCCAGTGATGCAGATGTAAAACAGATAAAATTTGTATCTTGTAATACCTTTTTTTTATTGGACTAACACAAGATATTTACGACCCTCTGTGAGAATGGTGTCTATTTTCTATCAAATCTATGGCTTATCTGCACTCATGTCGCTTTAACCCCTGTATCACAACTCAACTTTGAAATATATGTGTCGTCTTTGCTCAGAAATGCTTTAGACTTCAGAAAGGGAGGTTCTACCGAAAGCTTGTCATTCCAAAATTCTGTTAGTCCAATAAAAGAAAATTGTGTATTTGTAATACTCTCGGGAGAAAATTTATTTGGGACGCAACTGCAGATGAAATAATAAATTTGATATACTTCAATGAGGAATGCTTAATTAGCAGTCCATAGTATAGACCATACGACTTCAATGAGGAATGCTTAATTAGCAGTAAGTAGTATAGACCATAAGACTTCAATAAGGAATGCTTAATTAGCAGTAAGTAGTATAGTCCATGAGACTTCAATAAGGTTGCCAAGTAGGTATCTCCTGTAGTCAGGGCTGTCTTTAATAATGATTGAACCCTGGGCAAGCATTTGCTTGGTCCCCCTGGATCCTGCCCTCTCCCGCCTCCCTGGCATGCAATCATGGTCTCCACCCCAACCTAGTGATGGAACTAATGTAGAGAGGGCCTGGTGCAATAATTTTTTGGGGGGTCTCCCCTCAAGTGCAAGAATGGAGAAAAGATACATACCCATCTGTTGTACAACTCCCATGATGCTATGCCAGTTGGGGATCTACCATTTGGCCATTCTTGTAGGGTTGTATTTGTGAGGCAGCGTTTGTGCATTTGAATGTAAGCATGTTTTTGTATAGAGTATGTGTGTGCATGTAGGCTTGTATTTGTATGTACTGTTAACATTGGAATGCAGTGGTGTACTTGAGTGAAGTGTTTAGCGTTTGTATGTAGTGTTGGCTTTTAAATGCAGGTGTGCTTTTGTGTGTAGAGTTGGTCTTTGTATATAATTTTAGCGCTGGCATATACACACACTCAGATACACACACACAGATACACACACTGGTACATCCACACACAGAGATGCACATAGACACACAGGTACACATGCAAAGGTGTATTTGTGTGCAGTGTTGGCATTGAAATGCTGGCATGTTTGCATTGCCACATACACATAGATGTACACTTACACAAACACTGAGATACACACAGGAACACAGTGGTGTATTTGTGTGCAGTGTTGGCATTGAAATGCTGGCATGTATGCATTGCCACATACACAGAGATGCACACTTACACAAACACTGAGATACACACAGGAACACAGTTGTGTATTTGTGTGCAGTGTTGTTGGAAGGCAGGAGTGTATTTGTGCAGTATTAGTGTTGGAATGCAGGGGTGTTTTTGTGTGCAGTGTTAGCGTATTTATGTGCAGTGCTGGCATTGGAATGCTAGGATATATGCATTGCCACATGCATGGATACATACTTACACATACATATACACACACACGCACAGGTACACATACACATTGACACACAAGTACACATACACACAGATAAACACAAATAGCCAGATACACACACTGACAAACACAGCCAGATACACACTGACACAAACACAGCCAAAAACACATACACATTGACACACAAGTACACATACACACATACAGCCAAATACACACACAGCCAGATACACACACACACACACACACGTAGCCAGATGCACTGACTCAGACCCATGTACACACACATATATCAATTTCATCATATTTTAGCCACCCTCCTGTCTCCTTACCTTTTGGGTATAGAAGGGTGGCTTCCCTGGCGTCCAGTGGGAGCTGGATAGTCAAGGCCGATGGGAGTCTGACTCCCTTAGTCCCTCTCCTCCTTCTGTGTGTTCCTCCTTCACCTCTTCCACCTCCCCAGCGGCGCGGTGTTACTTGGGAGGAAGTGATCTCACCTCACCTCCTCCCAGCAGGCAACATGAAAGGGGCCCAGTCTAAAGCATTCTTAAAGGGCCAGGGCCCCTGATTATATCAGGTGCCGCAGCCTACCGGGTTTGGTCTCTGGCAGGGGGCCCATGGGGCAGCTGCTTTGGGCCACCAAGGAGTAACTGGGCCCGGGGCAGCTGCCCCGTCTGCCACCCTTTAAAGGCGGCCCTTTATTTCTTAGTATAAAGAAATAACTTGGTAATTATCCTGGTATGTGAAGTGGTTGTAGTTAGTAGGCTCCAATAGCAATAATTAATACCATTGAGTAATTGACAAATTATATTTCAAGTAGATATAGCAAGTAGAATCTCAGAGGCCGACTTTGGGTAACCTTTATCCTTCCCAGAAACTTGTGGCTAGAACCAATTAGTAAATACAATCATAGGAGAACATATCTTTCCTTAATGAATGATATGAGTTGAATTCCTTGCAGTGTAGATTAATTTATGGTTTCTTGAAGAGATGCAGGAATCCAAAGTTAAGTCTGATTCTTGAGTGGCAGAGTGGAGCATAGCCAGGAACAAAGCCAGCACACAGGAATTCAAATGAGCAGAGTTTTGCAGTGAAATGGCAACCATGTAGTTAGAGGCAAGAGCACATCAACCACAGGAGATTGACAGAGAAAGATTAATTGAGCACCTGAGACCAGGTGCAGCTTCCTTTTAGCTCAGGAAGGGATGACATCACAAGCATATGGGGCCTAAACGCTAAATGTCGATCTGGAATCAAATATGGAGGAATTCCCAAACAACGTGGGGGAATCCTGACAGTATTACAAAATATAAATGTTATCATGTTTTTGTTTTTACACACATACATATATATATATATATATATATATTTCCTTTCCATATCCATGGCAGCACAACAATGGGTAGCTCCTCCTATCCCTAATTAGAAAGGAACTCATAATTAAAAGGTTATATAAGCCCCCTCCCATCCTTTCTTACTCAGTCTTTTTGTTCCTGTCCGATCCCTAGGACATACTTGGTTGTTTCGGACTAAGAGATTTTTCTTTGTGGCTTACCTGAGGGCAGTTACCCTCGGCCACATGGGAGTTCAGCTTCTCTCCCATAAGAGAGTACATGGCCCTCCGCAAATGTGACCCCCTGAAGAAACCTCTTTAGTGACCGGGGGTTATAACTTGCAGTGACCCATGGACTAGCAAGATTAGAACATCGCCCAAAGAATTGCAGTAACCCAGGTAATGGAGGTTTACAAACATGCAGGATATGGAAATGATTATTCATTAATTTTATCCATCTTTCAACCTTTTACCTTTATTCCCCTTCTCTGGTGATCCCGTAGGGTTTTTGAAAGGGATCTGTTCCTTTAAAGGACATTTTGTCTATTTTTTCAGGTTCCAGGGCCTCAGGCCGCATGTTTGATTCAGTGTCCTTCTCTTGTGTATGTGCACGTGCGGGCATGTTCCTATTGTTGAATCTCGCGTGTGGATTTGTTTGTTTGACGTTCGCGGCATTACGAACTGTTTGGCAGTTCTACGGGAAAAAGCACATCTGGATCATCCAAAGGGAAGTTTCCCAGAAGAACGCAATGTGAGCCATGCAATAAGAGAGCCATGGATGGAAAACGCCTCTGTGCTGCATGCTTATTGGAGGCAGCAGGCCCATCTCAACCAAGTCCTGACATCATGCAGTTCATCAAGCAGGCAGTATTACACCATCATGGATTTGATTAAGGACAAATGGTCCTCATCAGAAAATAAATTCTCTGTCAGAAGATTTTCTAGGCTCTATACTATAAGCAATAAGGATGCAGAGACATGGGACTTAGCCCCCAAGGTAGATGTGGCAGTTGTTAGACTGGCCAAACGCACCACCCTACGCGTAGACAATGCAGGTTCCTTTAAAGATCCTATAGATAGAAAGATGAACTCTAATCTTACATACCTGGCAGCAGGCACTGGCCTACACCCAGCAGTTGCTCTCACCTCACATTTCCAGAGCTTTAATGTTATGGATGGAGAACCTGGAGGAAGATATCAGAGAGGGCAGGAGCAGATCTTCCTTGAAGACATAAAGTTGGCTTTAGATTTTTCTTCAGAAGTTGCAGTTAATATAGTTTGAGCATTATCCAGAAATATGATTCTTTCCGTGGCCGCTAAAAGATCCCTTTGGCTCAAATCCTGGTCAGCAGATTCTTCCGCCAAGCACACTTTGGGCACGCTTCCCTTTCATGGGGATATGTTGTTTGGCAAGAACCTAGATGACTGTAATAAAAGAGCAGCAGAAGGTAGAAGAGCTTTCTTCCCACAAGATCGCAAAACCAAACCTCCTTTTTGTCCCAAAAAATCCTCTGAGAATTATTCTTTTCGAGACAACCGAGCAAACAGACCAGGAAGAGAATATGGAAGATCCCAATCCTGGAGGAGTCGCCACACACACACACACACACACACACTTGTATAGTTTCAGAGGAGGAAGGTCAAGAGGAAATATGTCTGCCAAGAACCCTACATCCTTATGACTCCCAGCCCGGAGGAGTAGGGGCTCGTCTGCTCTTATTCAGAAAGGCATGGGAAGACATAATCAAGAGAGGATACTTGCTAGAGTTCTTCCAAAAGCTTCCGCTGCGTTAATTCCAGGTTACAAGATGGCCAGGAGACTCATGGTTTTAACTCACATCTCTTTCTAAAAAAGAAAGCCTCAGGGGATGGAGACCCATACTAGATCTACACAGACTGAAACTCCACCTAAAGATCAGAAAATTCAAGATAGAATCCCTTCAGTCTATCATAAAGGCAGTGTTCCAGGGATTCTACTGTGGCTCCCACCTCTCTCTGGTTGATATCTCCACATAGGTAGCACGGGAGAGAGTGCTCTTTGGGCAGCCACTATCACGAGTAGTGATTATGATCCTTTAGTATTAGATAGGGCGATCCACCGCCAGAACAGCCAGTACCCCAAAAGTGTCTCCAGCAACCTTAGGAACCCGTTCATGGCGTTCCAGTGCGAAGGTCACGCAAGGGAAGTGTCTCCTTTCAGGATATAAATGCTGGGTGGTGTTTGTCTATACGAAATGGTGGCCACCCAAGGGAGCACTCATTAATTACTTCCCTTGCATTAGTGTTAACATTCTAATGGGGTACTGGGGTGGTCCCCGTTCGGGAGATGAATGGATCTAATTTGGCCATGGCAGCACAATGATCCCACCCGGATTTATTGGTAGAAACAAGACTGAGGGAGGAAGGGTGGGTGGGGTCTTATATAACCTTCTTTTAATTCTGAGTTCCTGTCTAATTAGGTATAGGAGGAGCTACCCATTGTTGTGCTGCCATGGCCTATGACCAGGAA